AAGAAATGCACTCAGAGGAAGCTGAAAGACTGTAAATAATACTCCCTTTTATTAGTATAAAAAGGGTGTATTTTATTAGCTGTAATACATTAAGGATATTGTCTGTATATTTTGTCTTAAGGAATGAAAACATTTAATAACAACTTATTTCTCTTGGGGTTGCGAAGATATCTTCATCTGTAAGTCACTCTCCTTTTGTGGAGGCTTTCATTTACTACAGACTGAAGACTGCACAAATTAAATGGGAATAACAGTATCAAGCAGAGCTGTTTAGCTCTGTTTTTTTTCATGTTCCATGAAAAAAAACCACATATGCTAGATTAAATAGATGATGACACACTGAATGCAGTAAATGCAGTAGAGTTTCATAATAAGGTGGCTGTTTCTGTCGGTTGTTAATATCAAAAGTTCTACACATAAAACATTTTTTTAAGTGCTCTACAGAATAAATAGTCTTGAAGTAAATTCTGATTACTATTTTCTATTCAGTCATGAAGGAGACCTTCAAACTCGCTTGCCTGAGGCACTGAGAAGCTCCAGGTCTTTGACGTTCATGAAAGAAAGATAACAATCACTCTTCAGGGGAGAGATCTTATTATATGTACCCTTTGGGGTTTTTTTTATCCTTTATCAAACTGCACCTTTGTGGGCCTTTAATTTCTTAATGGGTTGTTTATCCTTTTCGCCCATAATTCGTGATGATAAGCTGCATGTCACATAGATACTGTTATGCTGATGAAAAAAGTTGTACTTTTGAGCCAAGTTGGTGATGTGGTTTGATCAACTTCTCACATAGATATTTCTAGATTGGTGAAGCAAATTCAATTGGTAATCCTACAAATGTTTAAGTAGGTAAAAGTCCATCTGAGGCTTACCTAAAAGGGTATGAATAAGAATATCTGAAATAGGTAAACACAATTACAGAACCAGGATCAGATGTTAATGGGATATCTTACAGGTACACAAAGTGTTGGAGGGGGTGAATGAGAGGGGGGAAGAGAGAACAGAACAGCACGCTGAAACAGTTTTCTCTCTATCACAGGTAGAATATAGGACCAACAAGGGCATGGCATGGAAGACTTAACAGCATGAGTTTTAGAAAACAGCGATACTTGCAGTTCCACCATTTGTGAATAAGTATATTGAATGATCTCAAACAAATGACAAAATCTTTGTATAGTGCCAACTCTGATTTTCCTACATGTGTCTCAGGTTAAGGAAATACTGGTTTAGATACTTCAGAGATTTATCAGGCTGCTGTGAATTCTATCCTCATTTGTAACAGTCGTAGAACTGAAGGGCAGTATCTCTGGTACTTCCATGAATACAAATAAATGTTACTACCCAGTTTGGAATCATGGAAAACGCACACTTCTAGACATGCAGAATAACAACACCTTAAGAGAAACTTTTGCCCATTCTAGTCTTCAAGGCTGAGGAAATGCTACTTGTATATATATATAGTGTGTATATGTCTGCTCAGTTTTTGATGTGCATCTGCACTCCTAATTCCCACCCAGATACATTCCATACTTTCATAAGTATTTACACAGGATTGTTCCTGAAATAACCATTGCTTGTTAGCAAAACATAATCATATTTTTATTTATCTTCCTCTTAACTGTATCAGTCCTCAGACCTGTTTCCTTAGAGCTAACCTTTGGAGGGTTGCTACTTATGTTAGCAAGTTGTTAGCAATATGAATGCTTTTCTTTTAAGTGAATAAACATATAAATACACAACATATAAATAAATGGTCGCCAATGTGTTAGAGCAGTGTTAATACAGTTCTATTTTTATTTTTTTTTTTTAGTTTTCCACTGTAGTATTTAAATTATATAAACAGAGAGAAATTGAAAGCCTGATAAAGAAATGGCTTATGATATCTAATCCTTTAGCTCTAATATTACTTTGGAAGACTTCTATTTAAGGTCCAGCTACAAGCTACAGTGAGATGAAACATGACAAGGAATGTGAAACAAAGATTTTGGAGATGTGCATTTTCTTAGAAATATTTGGATCTTTCCTAAGCCTATTGTGCCAGCAGTGGAACTTGGCAGTGATCTAGTATATTGATGCATAAAGTGTATAAAATGAACAGCAAGACTAGTGATCCTTACAATAACTTTTACACTGTAAGTTTGTTTGAACTTTATCATTACTGCTGTCTCCATCTCATCACTCAAATAGAAAGCTGAAAAAAGAAGATATGTGATGTAGAGACATTACTGAGGCTGCTTAAACTGTATGTATGCTGTAACTGTATGCTCGGTTAAGAACACTGGAAATCTCTAGTCAGTGTGATTCTACTTATCCAGATCTAAATGTGTATTTACCATGAAGAGAAAAATCAGAGGTAGATCATCCAGACTAGCCACAAAAGACAACTCCAAAATTAAAATTGATGGCTCTAATGGGAAACATAACTTTTATATTCAAAAGTCATTCGTTGCTGTCAAAGAAAGCAACTGGGTCTTGTCTGAGACAGCCTTCCTTGCAATGAAAGGCAAGACTTGTGTAAAGGATCTTATTAGGGCCCCTATTTATGATGTGGTTACCCTGCTTGTGTATTTAAGTGCTAGCTTTATGCTAGCATCTAACTATCAAGTGTTGCGGCAGCACTATTGCCTGCTGACCAGGAAGCTGATCAACACACGGCAGAACTGGGCTTCATGTTAGCGATTTGGTCCAAAAGTTCCTCATGCTCATCTCTAAAGAAACAAGAAGGGTATCACTTACAGAGTGAGTAAAACATATAAAGAGTCTTGAAGAATCTACTATGAAAGAAAAACCTTATAACGTACTTCAGGAAATGGCTCCTTTTGTGTGCAAGAGAAAACCATTTCTGGTTTGGGCCTATGATTGCTACCTACAAGTAGTACTACATACGTATTTCTCTTGCACATGATTATCAGAAAGGTAGAAATGCCGTTTACATCTCATGTGTAAGGAAAAGATGCATAGGAAGTATTTATTTTTGGAAAGATTATCTGAGAGGCAGTAGGTTTCTGGTTATTTGGTTTTGAGAGAGCTCACACACAAAAAATAAAATTTTGTCTAGAAATATTGATCGTAAAACCTTACAGGATTTGCAGACTGCAGAAATCCTCTGTTTTTTTGAAGATTTTGTGTATTTTATTTGGTATGAAAAATAACACTGGTCCCACAGCTAACTTTTGTTTAAAGATCAATCCAATCAGTACCTAGCTCAATATGCCATGCAAGGTCTCACAGAGTTGAAGAATCTCCCTGTTGACCTCTTTTTATCCCAGGAGAAGGGAGATGTATACTGATTGTACACTGATTGGTGCCTGGTAGCATGCTCAGGGCTGCCACCCTCACATTCCTCATTCCTGTGTTTTAACTTCCCAAGTCTGTCGTGGTTAAAGTCGACATCTTCATCACTTCATAGGGATGTTTCATCATTTAGACTGTTTTCTATCTTCTACTCCTGAGAAAAGAAAAAAAGAAGAAAAAAAACACAAAAGAAAACCCTCAGATTTTCTTCAGTTTAATTGTTGTATATTTATTTATTTATTCCTTTTAAACCTTTTACAACTCAGTCATTTTCTACAATTTCTAACTTACAATGTACATCTGTTATACTAGATAGCTTCTGTTTTGAGATGTTTTCTTTGTAATCGAACCCTATCTGTTTGGCAAATGTATTCCTTCATCACAGGACGATGACTTTAGGAGTATCTTGGCTAACATCCTTACAGTTTCCAATTAATATTCTCCCATCTCAGGTTCAGTTCTTTCTCCCAAAGACTTATCTTACAGCGGTCTTCACCTTTATAAAATTATGCCGTCCAACGCATGAAGCATGTATATTATTGGTTTGGACTTAATTCTGTTTGCGTGTAACAAATGTGATCAAATAATTATCAGTTATATCTAAGCCATGACTAATTTCTAGCTCTGTGTTCAATTCCTTTTTATGTGTCTATATGAGGTCTAATATAGAATTTCCTTCTGGTGAGTGCAACACTTCTTAAGTGTTAAGAGTGGTGAGTTTCTTAAGTGTTAAGAGTTTCCTTCTTAAGGAAATGACTCTTAAAATATTTTGAAATTCCAAGTACTTTTTAACACCAGCAGTATGAGATCTCTAGCATGTGAAATTCATCATGGTACAGGAATGTTTTCCCTATATGTTGTAGACAGGTAAGGCATAGTTCCTGCTGTTCTCTAGTGTGATTTAATGGCTAAGTACCCTGTCAATTTCTGGCTTATCCATTAGAACACTGACCCATAAACATTCAAGATCAGGTACTTCCGATTGACATCAACTCAGAAACAGGTAATGCCATCTTTGAAGCGCTTTTTATCCACTCGATCCTTCCAAATTAGATTATAACAATTGATTTTGACATGCCAGTTTTCCAAACAGTTGTAGCAATAAAAACTGGGTCAAATCTGTGCTACTAAATGACCTCTTCCACTGGTGATAAGTGACTGAAAAATCTCTGCTCTTTGTATTCTTTGGTGTCCTGATTATGGTTTCTCTTTTTCGTCCACATTTACCAAACCTTCATTGGTTCCTTCTTGCTAGTTCTATTTCCTGTAAGCTGTCAGACTCCTTAGCTGATCAGTAGAAGAGTTCTTCTGTTGCAGACAGCAGGCTCTCACCATAGACAGTGACAGGGTTTTCCACAAACCCAAAATCTTCATGCCATTCGCTTAGATTAAATCTGGGTTTATATGCTTTTTGTTTCCTATTACTCGATAGGCCTGAAGGACCGTCTGAAAAGGTCCTGAAACAAAATACAAGTCATTCACAGCTGTGAACCTCTAGTCCGAGACGAGTTAATGTTAAAAACCGTCAGCTGCTCTGGGTTCTCACATCTTCCGGAGCTCATAAGGTCTAACTCAGGCTTAGTCGCTCTCTCGGCAGCCTCTCACCGCTCGCTTCCACCCTCGGCACCGCCCGCCCCCGTTGCCATGGCTGGGCCGGGAGCGTCGGCACCATAAGGCTGCAGGGCCGCCGCGCTCTGCTCGGGATGGAGGCTCTGCGCCGCTGCTTTTCAGGTTCGACGCGAGGGGACGCGCCGTCCGCGACCCCTTCTCCTCCCCCGCCGTCCTCGCGGGGCGGTCCGCTATTTCGCCGGGGGGGCCGGGGCCAAACGGCCGCTATCGGCCGTGCTGCAGTGGACGTTCGTGTCTTTAGAAAGTTCTGGCTTTTTTTTTTTTTCGGAGGGACTGAAGCAGCGTTGCAGGAAAACGCTTCGGGTCCGCAGGTGGTTAATGAGCCAGGGAGAAAGATGAACGCACCTGTCTCGTAGCCAGTCAAGCCAGCCGGTAGCTTGTGGCGGGTGCAGCCGCTCCTGGCTCGGTGCTTCTGAGCCCCCTGCCTGCCCTGTCCCACCGCTGCCTGCAGTCAGTCCTCTTGCTTGCCAGACTGTGCGGCTGCGATTGAGACGTGCTCCAAAAGTAAGGGGCTTGCAGTAGGCTTTGCCTTTTCTCTGGGCTACGGTGTTGGTATAAAGTTTACTTGCCGTTCCTCAATGAACAGCACTTTCCTTAGCAGATATCTCCCTTTCTGTGTTGTGTGTGGATGCAAATCTGCACTTTCTGTAACAAGTGTAATTTTCTACAGTGATGAGATACCAGTGCTTTTTGTAGACTTTGTTGTAATTATTTTTTTTCCCCAATGACACACTTTTGTAAAATGATGCTGCCTCCAATTGTAAGTTGTTTAATGTTGTTTTTTTTTTTTTTTTTTTTTTTCATTTTTTTCTGTAACAAATTTAGGACTACAAACCCTAAAAGTGCGACTCAGAGGAATTAACTATATTCTAACATCTTTTCAACCCATAGTTTATTGCTATTCCGTTCTAAGTAACAACTTAAAAAATTAAAAGAAAAAAAAAGCGTCATAATAAATGTAGCAAAATATTTCATCAGTGAAATGGCTTTCATTCACAGAAAGGCTGATAAATAAAATATTCTTCTACTCTGATACCGATCAAGTTGACTTGTATCTATCATTCCATTCCTACAAAAGGAATTTTCTTCCTCTAAATGCAGCAAATAGTTAACTTCTTCCTCTTCTTTTCTCTCCTCCTCCCCCCCCCCTCATATTCTATTTTCCCGTCCCTATTAAAAGTTTCTGCCTTGGGGCCTACCAGCAGGGCATGCAATACCTACATTAAACCAAATTTAAAAGTGAGGGTGCTCCTGCTGCTAACGTCCTCAGATCACAGACATGCAAAATGAAGGAACTGGCAGCTGAAACTTTAATGGTAGGAAGTGGAGGCTGAATACTTGGGGAAAAAACACAGTAGCTCTCTATGACAAAGAAGTCCTATTAGCATTTATGTACTTCAAAATGACAAGCTAGACAATTCTACATAACTGGGGCTTTCTGCTTTTGTTTTAAGTAAAATCCTATGTTGCGTGTATAGAATTTACTTGGATTTTTCTACTCACATGCTTGTTATTGGGACAGTTATGTATTATTTTGAACATTAATTCACTGCCTTTTGTTGCATTGCACGTTGCATGTTCAGTCATTTCTTCACCTTATGTGCCAGCATAGCTTATTAACATTTGGGCATACCTAGCATGAGGAAGCACAGGGAATTACATGCAAGTAAGATGCCTGCACTGGTTGTTTCTATGTAGATTAAAAGCAGTCCAATGAAAGAAAGAAAACTACTGACCTTAAGGTTATAGCTATTCTTAAGCATTGCGTCCTCATGAAGCCATGCTGAGGCCCAAACAGATTGGCGTGGAACTGGACGGCAGTATTATATGTGATGCAGTGAAAATGAAAGATTTAATTGAAAAGTGGTAAAAAGGAAACTAGATCATTGTGAAAATATTATTTCAAATAATTGGGGTTTTGTTTACTTGTTTTAGTTGAAATGAAAGTGTTGCCTCAAGAAATCATTCAAAGCCCACCATGGCATCCCAGGTTTGAAGAACCAACGATTTGTCCACCATTAGGTTTTGCCAGGTACGTGCCTTTTTTTCTTTCAGAGTGTGATTATTTTTACTGTGAATAGCTTCAATCCGATGTGCAAATTTGATGAATTCTTTTCAATTTGTTGCAGTGTTTAAAAATGCAAAAATAAGAAACAATTAAATTTTATCCTAGGAAAGTTTTGTTGTTAAAAGGAAGAAAAAATGGAAATGCATTCTGTTTAAGGTAGATGTTTCATCCTGTTTTTTCAAAGCATCTTCAGAAACTGTAGGAAGTTATTTCTGAATAGCGGGTATTGTCTTGCATTGATAAAATGGAAGTTAATGAAAATGTACCTATTTGGATTTTTAAAAATGGTCCTTTTTTTCATTCCAACAAAAAACAGTTTGGCATCTCTCAAAATATAATGAATGAATATCTAATATAAAATATAATGCCTGAAAACAACAATATTATCTTGTAGTTAGTACCTGTATAAAATACAGTATCATAATCCTTTCAAGCTATATTCCTACATGTGCCTTCATAATTTTATAGTCAGTTTCCATTTCTCCTTCCAGTTATTAGTTAGTTATCTATGCTTTTTTGTCTCCTACAGTGAATACTCCTAGTTGCTATCCAGCCCCATAATTTTATAGAACAAGTCTATTTAATAGTTGCTCGTTACTAATTGTAGTCCTAGAAACTTAGGTTATTTTTCCACAATTCCATTTATTTGAGATAGAATTTTGACTACTTTAATCAGGCTTTCCGGGGGGTGGGGGGGGCATACCAGCAGACTGATAGAATAAGAAGATGCAGTGATCTGTGCCTTAAAATATTTTTAAAAATCAAATTAAATTGATACAGCTGGAGCAATGTTCTGTAGCCACCAATTTTTCCATTAATTATGAGGGCTGCTCTGCCTTCAGTTTTGCGTTCAGTTTTCTTGAGTTGGCCCATGACGTCAGAGGCAGGTGGTGGTGGAGGCTGAACCTTCCCACCAGTATCCCGTCTTGTGTTGTTGCCGTGTGAGAATGGCAGCAGAGAGCAGTCTGACATAATGGCATCTGACATGGAAGTATGTGTGAAGCAAAGGTGTGTCACTGAATTCCTATCTGAGGCAACCCACTGACATTTATTGATGCTTGCTGAATGTTTATGGAGACCAAACAGTGTTGGGTGGTGCACTTGAGCAGTGGTGACAGCAGCAGTTGGTCATCTCTGCAGGTACAGATTTTTATGAGCACAGCATGCAGGCTCTTGTTCATCACTGGCATAACTAATGGTGGTGGCAGTGTTGAAAAACAGTGGCTTGTGGCTGAGAAGTTGGTCCATCAATTAGTGCTGTTATGCTCTTTTTAATTGTTGTCGTTTCTGTGGAAATCAATAGGAGGCATTACTTTTGGAGCAACATTTGGTCCATTGTGGGAGAACTTACCCAAGATAGGATTGCTTCTCTCCTTTATCTGGGGAGTGTCACGTTCTAAAAGGGCATCCTCCTTCACTCCTGCATGATGTTGTGTCTGTCTGCAAAGAAGAAATGTGTGATTCTGTGATGGTGTGGATGATGCTGCGGGTGCCTAGTGATTAAAGCAAGACAAGCTCTGCCATTTTCTTTGATAGAAAATGCTGAAAAAACTGAACAGAATATGCAGTGAGGATAGAGAGTTATGTGAGAACCTGTTTGGTCCTTCATGCTTTATGCAACTTTGTACTGCTCTTTGATTAAAAAGCCAGTTGTATTTATCTTGAAGTCTGTTTCTGATCAAAATCTGTAGCTATTTTGCTGTGTGAACTGGTAACAAAAATAGTTATTAGGAATAAATGATACAAAAAGCCAACTGTGGGGTAACTGTCAATCGGATTAAAATATATTTGTTTTTAATAAGGGAGTGATTTAAAATTAAATAGGATTCAATTTATAGAGGAAGAACACCTCATATAAACTATTTATGGAATATCGTGAGTCATCATTGAAACACTGGAAAAATAAGGCTACAACTGTTTGGAAAAAGCAAGCGACAACTTCTGGAAGAATAAAAATGATGCTTCTTAGCCAGTACCATCCTTAGCTTACTTCTCTGTTAGAAATAACATCCATTCTTAGTCACAGTGTCAGTTGTTATCAATTATATTTCTTTTTAATCTCCATTGCATGTAACACATATAACAATGTTTTAAGTAATGATTCTTTGAGATAATGGAAATTTCTGCTTTTTTTTGTTTCTATGTATATTGTCTGCTTGTCTTGTCTGTGTTGTTCCTGTATTAATATCATTGACAATAGCAGCCAAAATGAGCTAATTATTTGTTATTTTCAGTACCTTACATTTCTTCCAGTGTAATTCCATCAGTTCAATACTCCGGATACTTCGGGGCTTCTGTAAACTAATTGGTTTGCAAGTTGTTGCTTCTGTTCTTTTTTTCCCTTGGCTGCAGGTGTTTGTTTTCTCCTGTTCTCTTTTTGTTTGTTTTGTAAGTGTGAAAGTTATTCCCTGTCAGAATTCAGAACTTTATATATTGACTCCATGGCAGGTGATAGTTTAAATTGTGTATGATTTTGTGGGGCTTTTTTCCCAATTTTTCCGTATGCAGATATTGTTTATTAATTTGAGAAGACAGTAAGAAGGCATCAGACTTTCCTTTATTCCAGTTTGAACTTGTTTTTAACTGCAGTGTAGATTATATTGCGGAGAGGTGACAGTGATGCCTAGAAATTTGTATCTTGTAGATGACTGTTTCAGCCTGGGGGTCTGGACCTTTTATTTTTTTCCCATCTATATCTGCTGTTTTCTTTGTATGCTTATGAGGCAAAGAAGACTCATTTTTGCAGCCTTAAGGTACAAAGATCTGCCTTTCGTGTGGGTGTGTTTTCTGAATCTCTCACATTTAATGATCCAAAGATACTGCTTTTTAAATATATTTTCTTAAATGATATAAACATATTGTGTCTTGAAATACAGTTTACATTAGTTTAAAATCTAAAATAACTGCCTTATCTTCTTTTTCCTAACAACACTACTCATCTTCCTAAATTGTGACTGTTTTTCTGTGAAAATTTTGAAACTGATGAAACATTGGCATTAATTTTCACTGAATTCTTACGGTAATATCCATAAGGTGTATATCTTTGGTGGTCAGCAGCAATTCTGTTACATGCTGTGGGAAAGCACAAGCTTCTGTCGGTGTATATCAGTAACAGTAAACTCGGGAACAAATTTAAATGCCCTGTTCGTGCCACAGGTTTACACTATTTTATTGTTTGAAATTCAGACACGTCAAAATATCTCTAGATTGCTTAGCTATTTTGTTTTCATTTAAATGAATTTCAGAAAGTGTCTGTTGTATTCTCAGAGCAGTGAAGGGTATATTGCTTGTATTAGCTAACATTATGAAAAGAGTTGACTCTCATACCTGTAACGAAAGTCAGCACTATCATACAGGCAGAGAAAAAGTTACAGATTTATGTGGAACACTGATATTGAATTTCTTTTATCTTTGAGTGATAACCAGACAATCTTTATGGTTTTTTAAAGAAAAAAAATCACATTATTTTTATGAAGATAATGTCGTCTGTGGCTGGGTTATAAGAATCTGTTTGAGTAGACTTTATGGTCAGGAAGTGCATATTATCCTTTAAAATTCAAGACATCTCTTGTGTCTCAGAGTAGCAATGCTGGCTTAAATAAAATGTGAAGTATGGTTCAAATTTCAAAATCAGATCTTTGCGCTAATAAATGTATAGGAATATTCCCATTTCTTTCAGTGCCTTGTGCCACTTTGTTGGACCTCTTTTTGTAACGTGCTGCTCAGATTGTGGGCAGCAGAGAAAAGGCTTAAACGTGTGCATTGCACTAAGGAAAGTAAATATGTTTGAGCTGGGTTTGGGATTACTTGTTTTATTTTATTTTTTGGAAATTTTAGATGCACAATTGCTTAGACCACGTTGGTCCATAGCAATAATGCAAAAAATGTAATGATTTAGAAAGCAGTTCAAATATTGGTGGCTTTATCCGTTATTACTTATTCAGCTAATATACAGCATCAGTTATTACTTATTCAGCTAATATACAACTTCTTCAGGTTTAGACAGAAATACCGTGTAGCTCAGTGCTTGAAAGCTAAGCCAATTCTAATTTCTTGCAGAAATAAGGATTTGAAATGGCTGTAGACCAAAAAATTTAAAAGATTTTTGTATGTTTTTATAGAAAACATTACTTTGTCAATATTTCAGTATTTAGCTCTACTTGGCAATGCTAATATATTATACATGCCACGGAAGTCTGTGTTAGCAGCTCACGGTGTTTCTTTTAATTTTTTTCATTTAAATTTAGGATTCACTTGATCAAAGACAAAGATGGCATAGATGATTATTTGGCGAAGAATATCAAAGGGTTGTCAAAACAAGAAGCTGCGGCGTAAGTTGGCTTTTTCAAGGCATTTTAACATCCATAAGTTTATTGTTTCCTTTGTTTCTAGTCGTCATAATCATATAAATTTAAAGTTCCCTAGGCCCTACCCTTTTTAGTGGAACTTGGCATTTAAAAATTGAAGCTGATATTAAATAGTGATGGATCATTTCTCCTGATCTTAAGCATATCAAAGCATTTAACTCCTTGGCTTTATTAATTTGTGTATTTACCAAGGTATTACATCATGTTTGCAACATTATAGTTAAGATTGTGTCAGTAATTATATTTGAAATTTTGCTCTTTCACACACACCCCCTCCTTTATTTTTTTCCTGAACCTCTGTGAAATATTTCCTCTGGGATGCAAGCTTAGTATATATACGTATATGTTCTTGTAATTTTGAATTATTATTTAGCCACGCTCAACTGCTGACTTCTACGGTGTAGCATTTGAAACATCATTAGATATTTAAAAACCCAGTGAATGAAAAATATCTAGATAAGTTTTGATTTCTTACAGCTGAGGTATTTATATTTAGACATTACGAGAGACTACTCACTGAATTATTTTTCTGGAGACTTAGAACATATCTAGGGTTCAGCACCATCAAAATTAATGAAAGAATTCTTACAAATGTGAATTGCTAGTTGCTTAAGTGAGATGATTTATTTATTTCAATATTTAAATAATAAAAAGATGCATATATAAGGGCTCTAGGCACCTTAACAATTAATATTGCAAGATCACGCTAGCAGCATGGGAAAAAAAAACCATTCTATTAACCAGATTGGAATTTGACCAACCAGGCAAATTGTTTCTCTTCTTTCTAGCCTAAGAATGAACGTGCAAAACTTCTGTAAGACACTTTCAAATGAAAATCTAGAAAATTACCGGGTTTAAGTTTAGGGGCAATAACTTCAACGGCATCCTAAAGCCCTATCATGTAATACTCAGCCAGTGGACTTGCTTTCTTTTTCTACAACACCCATGGGTCACCTTCATTTTTTTATGATAACATAATCCAGCTAGTAAGTATTCTGACTGACAGTGTAAAAAATGCCATTTATCTGGTCAGGTGATGTAGGAGAACAATCTTTTTAAAGCAAACTCAAGCCTCACTTCTTTTATTTGCATTAGGATCAGGTTGAAAGATGATGAACATGAAGTTGGTTCAGTGATGGGTCTGTGCAGGACCTGATTAGCAGGTCATCATCTGAAAGACTGCAAAGTTCAGATTTTTCCTTCCTCTCTCTTAAAGAGATGCTGTCACAGTCTGTGAGATCCAGCAGTGAGGCAGTGACAGGAAAATTATTTAGAAGCATATTTATGCAGAAAAGGACCATGTTAGTGCTCTGAGTACTTGTGGCTGATGTGGAACAGTTACTGATGCTTTAGGAAGGAAGTCCTTTGGGCTTCAAAGTGCATGTTACAGCGCTGATTTGATCACATCAGCCTTTTACTGGTGCTAAAATTACAAGTAAATGTAACTTTAAAAAAAAATCCTATTATATTTCTCTTTTCACACACAAACTCTGAAGGAATTTGTAGAAAAGGGAAACAGCAATGAGAATTTTAACATCTGTTCTGCATTACCTAGGCAAAGAGGTCTGCCTTTATAACAGTTTCCTCAGCATTTTGTAATGTGCTGTTTTTCAAAGTTAGAAAAGCCTCTCAAAGATTAAAGCTGAAATATCATACGTTTTCTGCTTTATTCATAGGCAGATTTTATAGATGTACCTTTTTTGAAAATATTTGTATTCATACTCCATATTTTTAGCTAATCTGAGAATTTCAGGTTTTTAAACTGTAGTTACAAGATTTCTGTGGTATATAATTCTTGAGTAATGTCGATAAACATAGTACAATCAGGTAAGTTAACAACCTAGCAGCTATACAGTTACATTACTATTGGGATAATGTAATAGAAAGAATAGCAAGTGCATCAAACTTAATTTTAAGCAAATTTGAAAGAAAAGCCATGCCATATCTATAAGTGATGTTACTGAAATCAATGCTAGGCTTTGTATGCCTCAGCAGACAAGACGTTTTTTATTTTAAAAGTGTGAGAAATGGCTTATAATATGTTGTGTGTTTCTTTCATTCCAAAAGTAAAGCACCACTTCTGTAAGGACAGGATAGCTTTCTCTTACTGGCTGAATATCCATGCATTTGTTGAGATACTTAAAATCTATTCCCTAAATAAATCTTGTTTAAATTTTGAATTATATATAATGAAGATGGTTTTCTTACTTCTGTTTGGCTTTTTGGCTTGGTTTTCTCCAGAAGAATTAACACTGGAAGTGTTTCAAAATCAGAGCAGAAAGCCCCCAGTTTTAGCCAGTGCAATGGTGTCATGTATTTGGATCAACAAAATACCATGATTTTCAAATGAAATTTACTTTCTTTGGACTAAAACAAATATTTTTACAATGATTTGCAGCTGTGCTAGCAGCAATTATGCACATGTAGATACTGATACTGTGTGTTTAAATATGTATTCATTCATGCAGGCTGATCAATGGATTCTCAAATCACACATTTTGAGTCTGGCATTCACTCTACTGACAATTACTAGAGTACAAGGATGGGAATCATCTTTGCAATTTGTAGCTGAAAGCAATCAGCCAGTGTACTACTAATAACACTCCTACCAAGATTACTTTCTTTACTGTAGCTTTTCAGAGGATGATATTTACAGGTAATCTGTTGTTCCTATGTAATTTAATAATTATTGTTTACTAATGATTAATTAGATTAGCCTCCATATTGCTAGTTATTATTTGACAAAACATTATTTCAGTGACTATCCTGCTTAATATTAAACATCTTTTTTTTTTTCCACTGACTATTAGATGAAATTTATCACCTCGTAAATACACGAGTTTAAGGGTAGTGTCACATTTATGAGAAGCAATATTCTTCAAAATTATTTCCTAAAATTGTATCCTACACATTATTCTTTTAAAATAAGACAACCTGCTTTCTATGTAGCTGAAGAGAAAAAAAAGGTTGCAGTCTTTTTTCTGTTATACATTTTTCTGTATACTCTGTTCCAAAGTTGGCAAATAAGAAAAATTCCTGAAATCTGCTATTGTTATAATTTACTTTTTTTTTTTTTTTTAAAAACGCAGAGATTTATATAAATAAATTTTAGTTCCACACTGATTTAATTGATAGTGCTAAAGGAAAGCAGTTCTTTATTTATATCCAAACAAGATATTGATTTTTTTTTTCCTTAATTTTGTTTTGTTTCCTTCCCTAAGACAGTAACCTGAAATCATAGCATGGTGTGAGAAGATGGAAATAGAAGGAAGGAGCAGGGGGAGAGAAGGAAGGTTCCCTTTAAAGCAGAATGTGACTGATTTCTTGCCACAGGATTTTTGTGAGTTTACGAGGTTGGCTGACCACTGGCCTTTATGGTGCTTCCCCTGATACTGTTCCTTGTCTCAAATCACCAAATCATTAATGGCTCAAAATTAGATTGCAGTAAAAATTAAAATTTGTCCTTATGACTGAAAAGTTCATAACGAACTATGAAGTAAGCCATTTTCTATCACAAGATTGATTCCAGGACTGAATGTTCAAATGAAGTTGGAGCCTAGAATGGTCCAGAATTTGATAACGTCATTGCTGTTTCCTAATCTTTTTTGTCAGGGCCAGAAAGATCAAGTAACAGCTCTCTCCTTTTCATACAAATGAAACCATCCGGAGAAAACCGTTTTAACCAAAAAAAAAAAAAAAAAAAAAAAAAAAAAAAAAAAAAAAAAAAAAAAGTTAAAGACTAGAAAGAGATACTCTTAAATCTTTCTGATGAGAGAAATAGCTTTGCTTAGTAGTAACAAAAAATGTCACATTACTGATTTCACTAGGTATATTTCTGTGAATCAGCTGATGGGATTAGACTTCTCATGTCCTCACTTGAGACTCATTGGTAGTTAGAAGACAGCTAAATTATACAGAGAAGGTACTGAGTAGCTTAATTGAGCAAAAATTGTAGTATCTATTTTCTGTCATGTGAGTGGTTGAGCTTACCGTGGTAAATCTACTTCAGTGAAGATGTGCTCTGATATGACTTACTCAGAGGGGAGATAGGATTATCATGTATAGATTGGGTCAGATGTTTTTGAAATATAGTGAATTGTTAAGCTAGGAATTCACCGAAGACTGGCCCATTTAAAGATGAACTGAAACAACGGAAGCAAAAGGCATTCATTCTCTGATAAGCTGTTGCCAGCGCAATTGTGAGCCAGCCAATTCAGTAGTTGGGAAGAGCACTGCAGATTGCATACAGATGAATATCTCATTCCTCATAGATTTTCCCTATGAAAGTGAGAGCATTTTCATATTTGGCACCTTTTGTATTAAGAGCAGGACGCTCAGAATCCTCCAAGTTCTTGGATTTCTTCCTAAGAAGCTGAGGTTCACAGAGTTAAAAGTAAAAGACAGTACTTTGCTTCTCTTTTTCTGATGAGATGTGACAGTGGAATTTTCCACAAGGCTGTATGGGTCCTTAAAACTTTGCAATTATTCCTCAGCAATTTCATATTTTATCAGAAAGATCTGTGATTATTTCGAAGGAGAAGAGTAGTAAACATTCCTCTTAAATTATGGGATTTGTGATTTTTCCGATCAGATGATTTCTATCTCCTGCACTGGGCTTCAAGGAGTGAGCTACTATTAGTCAGACTTTTTTACTGTTTTTTTGTTTGTTTGGTTGGTTGGTTTTTTTTACTTCTTCCAGCCACTACCGCAAAGTGGTGTTTCTTGAGGAGGACAGCTTCTCAGTTTAAGAAACCTGAAATATATATTTATATATATACTTTTTTTTTCCTGTAGGAATGATGAATAGTGAATATAGTAACTCTTTTCTTCTACAAACCTTTGTCCTCCTCTGCAAAGAAGTGCAAAGGGGATTTCACATAAATTTAATTCAACTGACTAGGTTAATCACCCCATATAATCAATGGAAATAAGTAAGAATAAATCATTTACTTAGTTGAACCCCA